TCGAGAGCAAAATTAGCACGGAGCTGAGCAGCCTGAAGGAGCAGATGCAGAAGATGACCGAAGGCCTCCAGACCTACAGCAACCTGGAGGCCCTAAAGACAGCTGGAGGGGAGAAGAAAAAGGTAGAAGGGTCATCTTAGCAGTGTCTGTGTGTGTGAGCGGGTTTACCTATCCTTATGGGGACATAATGTCCCCATAACGTGATAAATATCCGGTTTTTTTCCCTTATGGGGACCGGTTTCCTGGCCCCCATAAGGGAAAACTCTATTTTATAAAAATCGGTGACTGCTATGAAAACACTAAAAATGCAAAAACTCTTGTATTTTTTGCTAGGTTACTTATGGTTATGGTTAGGGCAGGATAGGGGTTAAGGTTGTCATAGTTAGCTTTAGCATTTTTCCCATTGAAATGAATGAGCGGTCCCCATAAGGATACGTTTACCCTACGTGTGTGTGTGTGTGTGTGTGTGTGTGTGTGTGTGTGTGTGTGTGTGTGTGTGTACGTACAGGGAGATGAGCAGCGCCCTGGTGGAGCACAGAGGCAAGTCTCCGAAAAGCTGTACCTGAGAGCATTTTCAGCTTTCATAACTGGCTCTCTATGGCCCCGCTTTCAGAATAACGAGACAGACTGACTTCTCCTCCATTTAGAGGCTGCAGGAGGAGAGGATGCTCTTCACTCAGAGGAGGGAAGCCTTCAAAAAGGTTGTGCAGAAGATGAATGAGGAATTAGAAGCACTGAAGGCTCGGCTGCTGGACAACGAGACGCATGCTCAGGTCAGTTTGCGGGAGGCGCTGCTCAGCAGCCTGGGATTGGCCGGATCAGGTTACTGTGAGGTGGCTGAGGGAATGCAGCCAATCCTGTGGGAGTGTCTTTTTAATGGGGTCCCTACACAGCAAGGAAAGTATGGAATTTTAAAATGGAAAGTGAGTAAGGAACCATGTTTTAAACAAGGCACTGCCTAACTTTTTCCCCGTGTTTTCAGCTTACCAACTTAGAGAGGAAATGGCAGCATCATGAACAGAACAACTTTGTCATGAAGGAATGTATCCTTTCTCCATTCTGCACTCAGTGCAATTGCTGCCTGTCCCATTGCTTCCACATCACAGCACGTTTCCTTAAACATTTTGCTCAGTCATTGCTTCCAAGGGAATGGAGAGTGACTATCGGCCCATTGTGAGGAGCGTGACCAAACAGCTGAGTGAACACAATCAAGCGCTCATCGACGCGCTTCAGGGAAACAGGGGCTGAGGGCGCTCTGCTGTGGGAGTGGGCTTTACAGGAGCCCCAACTTGATGTGGCGGGGGGGGATGCACTACAGCTTTCAGATACTGTGACAAACACAGGGTTTTAAAGACGTTTTATTTTTGTAGTTCTTCAACTGTATATCAACAAATTAAAAGGAATTAAGACGTCATCATGAGCGCTGAAGTAGTTTTTAATGCTTTGGATATAAATGGGACAGTTTCCTACTCCCTCGCTTAGGGCCTGGCTTTGTAACACAGCACTAATGTGCTGTGCTCATTTGCCGAGTCTCTGTGCTTCGACGCCCAGTTTTCTACCTACCCCAACTTTCCCAGCCACACAATTGTAGGATAGGTTACAGCAGCAGTTAACAGCAGACAGGAACTTAGCTGTCTGATAGCACTATTGTTTTAACCATATTAGTTTCCGCCAAGAACCAAACTATCAGTCAGGCACCTCCACCTTCCTCAGGCTAAAGTAAACATACATCCCCAGACCAGGGTAATTCATTGCTGCCGTTTGGGTTTGTGTCCAAACTTAATAAAGCCGTGGTCTTGCTAAAGGGAAGACTGAAGTACGGCTGTTTTATGGCGTGCACAGCCCATGCTGTTGTGGGACAAACCAACTTCAGCTCCCAGTATGGGGCTTCCTTACCGTGCTGTGCAGTCCTCTGGTGTGCAGGCTGAGCTCATAGGGTCCACTCTTCCAACAGGAACTCGCATGATCTAACCTACGCTACCAGGCAAATGTTTCTGTACACACTGAGATTTTCTACATTTGCATGTAACTCACTTAACATTTACTAAAAATCAATATTCTTTGCTAACAAATACATTTACAGTATGTTCACCATTTGAGTACCTTTATTAGCAAAAAAGATCATATCTTTGGTTCATCAAAGTAACCTCCTCTAGCAGTTATGACAGCAGAGAAATTCTGAGCCATTCTTTCTACAAGGGACATTAAATACTGCTCTGTTTCATGGGATGAAACAGTTAGCTAGTACATGTAAAGTTAAAGGACAACCTAGAATTTGCCATCACCGCACAACCACTTAACAGGATGTCAGACATGTACTGTTACATGCCCTTTCCATGTTATAAGGAAAACTTGTTTTATTTGACTTATATTCTCATTTATAGTCGTTCACTCAACTTTCCATTGCTTAACAAGGAAAAAAAATCTGCAGTTAATGAAATAAATGCAAATGTGGTAAAAAGCCTAAAAGGCTCATACATCGACCACAACTAATGCTGGGGGGGGGGGGGCATGCTAACCATAACATTTGCTGAGGTGGGGAGGATTTGTATGCTGTTCATTGCATTGTGGAGGTCATTTATAGCCGCGTGTTTTATTTGGATGCTGACCTTTGGACATGATTTGTCAGTAACATGGTTTGTATTTTATTTTAACATTATGCAGAAAGTATTTAGTTGTGAAATAATCAATCATATCAGAACCTGTTAATGTTAAGATGTTCCAATGGTATTTATGACACTTTTACATTCCGGGTATGAAGCTACGCTAAAGTTAAATGGCATTTAGTTAGCGTTACATGTGACACATATATGTGATGAAATAGGTTATACAAAAAACGAAACCTGAAAATATGTTTTTGTAAGTCATGTATGTTGATGTACAGTACTGTGCAAAAACAGTAAATGAAAATGTTTAGCAAAAAATCACATTGTAGTCTGTATGTGTGTCTTTTTGCAGTTACATGGTAGTTAGTCACAACGTTTTTGTATCTGTTACTGTTCTTAATGTTGTATAATGGAAAATGGTGGTCACGGTGCAAATGAGAAATATTTAAATATTTAGACATATAAATAATATCGATGACATTTTATGGCATGGACATTAAGTCATCCACAGAGAAATACTGTTAACCATTTAATCGGTGGAGGAAAATTGGTATGTAAGTGTAATATGCAATAAATGAATAGGTGTAGTTTCAGAGCTATGAGTCACAATTAGGACTCAGAGCATTTGGAAAAAACACATTTATTGGCTTTCATGTTTCCAGTTGACCCATCCAGTAATTATAGAAATTGTAGCAGTTGGGGGTGTGGGATTAGGTGGGGGCGAAGGGGCTGTCCTCACATTGATGCACTGTTGTCATTCAAGCACCATCTTTTCTAGTTTGTTTGTATTTTTAATTGTACGACAAAACTGAATTCTCAATAAAAACCAAAAGAAGTCACAACTTGTTTTTTTATTGGCAATTGATTAGTTGTTCATTAGCTGCCTAACTTTGTACCAGCAGAGACACAATTTCATTGCAATTTAACAATGATTATTAGGCTATTGAATAATAATGATACATTCAGGACCAGGCATGTTGTGGGCTGCTCGATAGATTTCGCCGAGCTCCAGACAATAGCTTTTGGAGTCTTTTTGCACCTGACCCACCCTAAAATCCTACCAACACCCCGACCAAATGCACATCCACCTAACCCTCACATAGTCCCACCCACACCTCCTCCTCACCCTCCCATAGTCCCACCCACACCTCCTCCTCACCCTCCCATAGTCCCACCCACACCTCCTCCTCACCCTCCCATAGTCCCACCCACACCTCCTCCTGACCCTCCCTTAGTCCCACCCACACCTCCTCCTGACCCTCCCATAGTCTCACCCACACCTCCTCCTGACCCTCCCATAGTCTCACCCACACCTCCTCCTGAACATCCCATAGTCCCACCCACACTTCCTCCTGAACATCCCATAGTCCCACCC